AGGCTCGTGCAGCTCCGCTGCCGAGCCCTTGGTTCGTTTTTTCATTTACTGCATGAACCAATGGCTGTGCAGTTACACTGCGTGATTGTAAAGGCTTCAGTCCTCGGAGAAAAAGGGGTTTTCTCCGTAAGCGTCTAGCGACGCAGTACGAGTGAAGTATTGAAAGGGAACTTTCAGACCCGTTTAATGTTGGTGCTAGTAAAGGTTTGAGAACTTATGGCCTGGTTTCACAGACAGGGCTTAGACTAAAAAAAACATTACTGGTGTGCATCCTGAGACAAAACAAAGGCACTGATATTTTTAAAGATCAGTCAGTGCAAGTGTCTTTCAGTTGAAACAGCTCAGAATTACATTTTAGTTTGGGGCTGGTATTAAGCCTTGTCTGTGAAACCGGGGGTACAAGTAACACAGTTTGGTAATTTTCTACACTAAGGTCTCATTTGTTGTACATGGAATGATAAAAAGCACATTTATTTTAATTTACTAACATAACTAAATAACTAACATCAGCTAACATCACATGACCTGTGTCTGAGGTACTTGTCAAAGTTTTGGACCCAATCCCCCTCAGGTCAGATCTCGGGTTTTCAGATGCAAAATGGACCTGTGAAGACTTCTACCGCATGCAATTTTCAAAAACTCCAAAATGGTCAACCTCCTGTTGGATTAAGTGTAGGGCTGTCGCGGTGAGGGAATTTCCCTTGCGGTAATTTTGAGTGGCTCAATAGCATGGTATGCAGTATTATCGCCATACATATACATATATATATATATATAATTTGTGTGTGTATGTGTTACGATATAACTAACGAGGTCATATTCAGAAGACAATGAAACCGAAACCAAATAGCGTTGAAACAGAAAGTGAAGTAAACAGAAGAGAATGACAAAATAACGGTCCACATAACAGAACATAAACCTGACAATAAGATCGTTAGGCTATCGTTAGCCTATATGTATAACAGTTAGCCTAGTTGTAATCAGATTTTCTAATCTGACTGGACAAGAGACTTTCTATTGATATTTCCACCTGCGCGCGTTCTAGACGGGCTGTCAGTCAGTGCAGTTACAGTGTTGCGCCACAAAGTGGTGGAAAGGGACTGTCATTCAACTACACGTTCAAAAACACTGATTCATTCATTCAAAGAGACCTAATGAAACATGCTGTTGAAATCATTTTAACTTTGAGCGCCACTTTAGAAGGCTCAGCTGACCAACTATGCGTCAATGCTAAGACAGAGATTTCGCTTTCCTTGAACATGACAACCTATTTTCACAAATATATATGACTCGGCCTGGAGGACAGACGCAAGTAATCGCACGCGCTCAGTCGATCTCTCTCTCATTCACTGTCTGTTTAGGCTTGTTAAGTGCAAATCTACGGAGCCTCTGTACAAATCAGCATGGTACACATTATGTTATCATTACTAACTTGTTTAATATTCAGTCCACATGCATGAAGTGTAAAACGAGAAGGGAATAACCTTACAAAAAAAAGAAAACACGCAAAAATTGCGGTTGCTGCGGTTCTTGCATTCCTCTGCGGTTTGCTCATCAATAGCGTGGTATTGCGATATTGCGGTTATCGCGACAGCCCTAATTAAGTGTGTGTGTGTTTGTGTGTTAGTAATCCTATACGTTATGAGGACCAAATGTCTCCACAAGGATAGTAATTCCAGTAAATTTTGTCCTTGTGAACATTTTTAGGTCCACAATGAGGAAACAGGTTTATAAATCATAAAGAATGATGTTTGCTATGATGGCGAGATTAGGTACTTTTGTTTGCAAGTATGTAAGTGATTTTGCATTGTTCTCCAGACTCTTACTAATAAGCAAGTTAAAGTGTTGTATAGTGTTGGGTTTTTCTTGTGCATCAGCAAAAAGCGTTTTTGTGTGTATTTGTTTTAGAGATTGTTTTGTCAATAAACGTAGAGGGTTTTCCATTTTGTGTTTGTGTTGATTGTAACTAGGCAATTAAGAGATTTTTTTTAAATACAATTTGAAATATACTAAATTTCAACTTCATTGCCAGAGATATATGACATTGAAGTACATTGAAATGACATTGAAGAATATTTTAGTTCACATTAATTGCTTATTCAGAAGTACATATTTACAATATTTCAAAGTACATATAAAATATACTAAAGTCCCACTTAAGTGGTTCAAAAATATCACTCAAAAGTTCAACTAATTGCAATTAATGTAATTTTAAACTAATATATTTGAAATCAATTACAAATAATTAGTGGTCGACCGATATGGGTTTTTTGACAGCCGATACCGATGCCGATATCTTGGAAAGCAGGGTGGCCGATGGCCAATATAAAGCTGATATAATTTTATTTATTTTAATTCATATTTAAGACATTTGAAATCATTTGAAAATGGATAAAAAAATAAACATGTAAAATAAACATACTTATACTCTAGGAGACAAAGTATTTTTCACAAATAAATAAATATTTAATAAAAATATAATTAAAAAGGAAGTAAACACTGGAACCAACAGGGCACTCAGTATTCTGGGAAGTTTGTGTGCATTGGGAATCATATTTTTTCAAATAAAGCCAAGGTAACACTCATTTTACATACATACCACAGTGAAAATGACATGAATATGACCGTGGGCAAATGCATAAAGCGCAGCATAATTTGAAATCAGTCACGAGTCTCCAGTGTCGCTGAACTCTCCTCCTGTCCGTATTCAATTCACAGAACACGCGATCATGCAGGTCACATGCACACTTCACAAGATCTCAACTAGATTCTGCAAGGCTGCAAGGTTTGTGAAATTAAATGTTCATTAGTCATTCAAAGATGTGTTTAAATTATATAAATGCGTATATGCGGAATGCTGACGGCAAACGAGAAAGTATTATAATGTTTGCCTTTAATAATATTAAAGCAATCGTTATAATACTTTTTTGTATACATTTTAATTCCTTTTTTTAACAGTTCTATCTGATTATTAGATAGACTTCTATCCGTAGTAGACAGAACTGAATGACTTTGAAATAAAAGTCCGATGCGCTGTCAAAATAAGTCCCTCCTCGAACACATCGGCCAAACAGAAAAACTTAGCAGCCGATGCCGATATCTGAAAAATGGCAGATATCGGCCGAAATATCGGCCTTGGCGATATATCGGTCGACCACTACAAATAATATGCATTTAGGTGGTCGAAAACATGACATTTAAACTTAAGTGTATTGTTAACTGACATTAAAGTATATTTTAGTTAACATTAATTGCTTGTCAGTACATTAGTAGTACACTTTAACGATATTTTAAAGACACTAGAAGCAATTATGAACATATAATTGTACGGTCTAATTTAGAAAAATACCATGATATAAATTTGATATCACCAGGCCAAATGATATCATCCCGCTCAGCACTACTTTAACCATATTTTAAAAGACACTAGAAGCAATTATGAACGTACATATAAAGATGTACTAAAAAGTCCCACTTAAGTTTAAGGTTTAAAAAAAAAAATCACTCAAGTTCAACTTATTGCATTTAATATAACTTTAAAATGTGATACATTTGAAATTAATTACAAATACAATGTACTTAAGCGGCGAAAATAGTACATTTAATTTGCACTTGCATGTGTTCTTTTAAAAGTATATTATATCCGCAATAAGTACACTTTATAAAAGTATAATTAAGTGCACTTATTTTTCATAAGGGAAAACACAGAGATAGTCAGAAGCATTAAAATGCTTGTGACCATGTAATCGCAAAGAATGCTCCACAAAAAATGCTGTGCAGTGTCTTGTGCATGCAAAAACTACATGACGAGAACAGAAGGAGCTAAAAAAATAAAATTCGACAAACACATTGTTATAATATATTGTTTTATACACAAATATAAACGTATATAGATTTTAAGTTGGAAAAGACAATCAGTTACTTTATGAACTTTAGTTCCAAGGAACATCCACAAGATGGACAAAAATGCCGATGCTGTAAAAGAAGGGCAGATGTACAGTATGACAGGATGACTGAAAGTAAGTGTTAATTCTTATGTAGCAAAATATTTGGCCAATGTGTGCATTTGACACATGCATTTGCACAGTCTGGTCTTTTAGTGAAAACACAGTAAATCATCCAACCCAGTATGCATATTAGACCTAGTAGATCACTACAAATCACTCACTAGCACCACCATACTCCAAAATTCACTATGTGTGTGTTACTAGCTTACAAGTCCTAAAGACATTGTCAAAATACCACACAACATGAGCTGTGAATGCTTTAACATGGCTTGACACTATTGGCTATCTATTACACAGTGCATCTAACAAATGAATGTTGAAGAGTAAGATTTTAAACATGATGGGGTGGTTCTCCGTTGCTCTATATAAAAGTGCGTGTGTGTGTGTGTGTGTACAATTTAACATGCACAACTTGGGTGGAGGTTTGATCTCCCTCCAGATCTGGCTTTTTGCACTCTTACGAAGAAAATTCTGTAGGGAAGGCTTAATTGAAAAATCATGTTCGCTCTCTTTCTCTCAACCACAGGCTCATCACCTCTGCAAAAAACAGCCTCTTGCCTCTTTTCCTCTGTGGCATCCACTGTGCTAAGGAAGTTTAGTGCCATTTGCAGAGGCAATAGTTTGCAGCTGACAAGGCCGTATAAATAATATAATGAACTCCTGACCCACCTGACAAATAGATATGAAAAACAGAGTTGCATTTTGGAAAGACAAATCCATCCACAACACAGCATGCAGAAGACAACCAGAAACAAGATGTGTGTGTCTAAAGTGTGCTGCCATTTGTTTTTAAGTGCGTCCTCATGACGTCCAGGGATTACTAGATAACCTCAGGTGAATTCAATAAAAACTTGGATCAAAACAATGGCAATAAAGGATCTCATTCTCATTTTGTATTTTTTGGCTAACTGATTTCATTGGCATCATTTACTTCAAGCTACAATAAATAACAGAAACAAAAATCATCCATGTAAAAGTTCCGCTAATAAAATTACTGCTGACTGCCTGCCAAATTCGAATGATTTTGCGGAGAGCAAAAAAGGGCTATCCAGCCAGGAAAAAATTGACAACTGTGCCTGCATATTCCATGTTAAGAGACTAACCAAATGCAATTAGCAAACCACACAGTTTAACAACTGTCTGGAGTTGTTAACTTTCATCACGTGGGCAACAATGTTTTAAACAAATGCTATTACATAAATTTAAACCTCCTCAAAGCATCTTAGATTAAATAAGCAAGCAGCCAAACAGCTGATGGTGCACAAAGAATCAACCTAAAAGCACTGTTGTCTTTAAATCAAGTCCCAACAGCTGCAAAGGGAACAAGGGCATGAAAAACAAAGACATGACCCTTCCTAACCTCTTAAACGGATGTGCTTTTCTACTGTGACACATATACATTTAAAGGGGTCCTATTATGCTTTTTCACGTTTTTTAATTTTAGTCAGTGTGCAGTGTGTATGTTTGGTAGGGATATGCCGGTATCAAATTTTCATGTTGCGATTAATTGCTAATGCTTTTATTACGGTATACGGTATTATCACGGTATTGAAATTTAGTTTTAAAAAAAAGGCGAACCTTCATCAAAGCCGGAACTAATCGAGCCGTTTGTGCCAGGATGGGGAGAAAGGTATTTTAATAATGTAAATTATGTGAAAAATAATGCGTTTATTATCGCACCAAGCATGAGAGCATGTTCTAGTACACCCCCAAAACAAAATCAAGACTTTGTAAAAGAGCATAATAGGACCCCTTTAAACAATCAAAAAACACAAGAGCAATAACAATTGTGGCCTCCATTAGCAGACAATGTCTTCATTAGGCCTTACAAACGGAGTGTTTTACCCAGTGTACTCCAGGATTGTGTGGCCCACTGCCAGAGAACATCATGAGCAATCAACACATCTGGGATCCTCATGTGAGCACTAAATATAAGTTTTTAACTATTTGGGCAGAAGGTATGTCGGTGTGTAAATATGGTGCTACGTCTGTCCATGGTCAGGAGCTCATGTGCATGTGTGTGTTTATACTTCGCAGTGAGTCAGAGATGTTCTCAACTCATAATTGTGACACATCCGTTCTCTCTAAACTAAGAAAACATGCCCTCCAAGCTTAAGCTTTAAAGGGGTCATATCATGTGTAATCAAATTTTCCTTGAACTTTCCAGAAAGAGTTCAGTGTATTATGAAAACATACTGTAACTTTCAAAACTCAAAACTTCCTCCCCAGTGTAAAAAAGAAACTAAACTGCACACGCCTTGTACTTTTGCAACTTTAAAATGTTAGACAAATGAACACATTTACACATCAGCAACTTCTGTTTGGTATTCAGAAACGCATAAGGAGAAATCTGGGGGAATACTATTATTCCTAATAAAAGACGGTTAAGCTTTGCACTGTTGCTGGCTGTGTGTAGCACCTACAGCTCTGCACTTTCTTCTGAAGAATCACAATGTTATTTTTAACAAGATTCCTGATCAATTTCAGTCCTACCTTCGCAATATGTGGACATTTTAAATCACATATTATTTTGTGAACATGTCACAGCAGCTAAAACTATAGACCTGACAGCAAATCCACAGGTTGCAAATAAGTGCGGCAAAGTGTTGTATCTTATTTCACATGCAAATGTGGTGTTTACACAGATCTAAAGTGTACGTGGCAACAAATAACCCATTTATGGTGCAAAAAAAGGAAAAAGTAAAAATTACATTATAAGGAGAAAAAATACAAATGACCTTTATTTTTTACAAGATTTATTTTTGGCGTTTGCGCCTTTATTAGGATAGGACAGTATATTAGACAGGAAGCTAATTGGGAGAGAGAGAGGTGGGGGTTGGGGTCGGTAAAGGTTCACAAGTCGGGACTCAAATCGGGGACACCCAAAGTGCAACGGCGCTATAAGTCGGTGCACTGCCCTATTGGCGCCGACATAAGGTAACCTCTTTAAAACACATTTTTTAAAATGTGCACTTTATTTAGGCTATGAATGACTATTGATTGCTCAAACTATTGATAATATATTTAGTGTTGTTACACATCTTAATCTGTGATTATTAAACCACATGTGAACATGCCGGCATTTTCTCTGCTGTTTAAAATCTTCTCTACCAATTTCCCAAAGGTTATGTATAGGCAAAATCTTTCAATGGAGAAACAAAGACAAAGACAAAGGCACACACACCAAGCTATGGCCTACATCGTTTACAAGCAAAATGCAAAAATCAGGTGCTTGTGTTACAGTACAAACAGAGGAGCTGTTTCACAATCTTTTCACAACAGTGAGGGCCACACCTCAGGAGCCCCAGCTGCTCCTCATCCCAGTGCAGGGGGAGATTTAAGGCCCCACACCGGTTCACACTGCCTTCAAACCCCAGTGCTGGGTCTCTAACAATGATGTCAGCCCCTGCACTTATGCAACAGAGTCAGCCATGACTCAGAGAGAAAGCAGGAGGGTCTACAGGGAAGTTCTGCTCTCGGACAACACTGGGACTGTGTAAGAGAAAGCTCGGGGGCACTAGAAAGAGAACATAAAGACCTTTTTCTCATTAAATGTTCTCATAAGCTGCATTTATTAGATGATTGTTGAAAGACCAATTTTCTGTAACTTTATATGTGCCTGTTATGTTTTTATAAATTTGTAGGCACACTTAAAGGAAATATTTATTTGTACATGTTCAGATTCTATTCCACATAGCTTCTCAGAGACTAGGATAGAAGGGTTAGTTCATCAGTAATATTTAAAAAGGAGAAAGGAACACAAAGAAACTCAGTGTTGTATGTACTGTCTTCCTGTCAAATGAATAAAACAATGACAGCCTTTGTGAAGGAAATTACAATATTAATCAAGGGTAAAACGAGAAGTATACTGTTGGTGACAAGAAAACAATCCAGTCTCATTGCGATGTCATGGTATCTTCCTGCTTACGCCAGAGCAAGACTACAGCTGCTATTATCTTGTTCAGAGAGCTGATCCTTATTCTGATTAATGAGCAGTTGCTTCAGAAGGCCCTGAGGGTTATGTCTGCTGAATGATGGGTATGGGTGTTACTGTGCCAACCTCGACACATGGTCATTCCCCCATTATGCAGACCTATACTCAATGAGAAGTGTGCGTGAACTGAAACAACAAAGCTACATGAACCTAATGAATTACTCCGTTTTATTTTCACATGCAAAATATTTTAGGACAAATATTTATTTTTAAGGCTTATATTCACAAGTACAATTTTTGCTCTTAAATTTTGTAAATAAATTAATCAATTTAATCTGAAATGAAAATGAATCATAAATTAATTATTAAAAATGAATCCTAAATACCATTAACTAATAAAAATGACAGAAGCAACAACAAAATTACTACAAATTACTAAAAAAAAACAAAAAAAAACTGAATACATAAAAATAATAGAACATATATTTAAAAAACTATAATAGTATAAACAATACTAAAATAACACTGCATTGATGATCAGTTTACTTTCTCAGACCACATTGCTAAAACTGCCCGGTCCTGCATATTTGCTTTATTCAACATCAAGAAGATCAGGCCCTTTCTTTCGGAACATGCTTCACAACTCCTTGTTCAAGCTCTTGTTCTGTCCAGGCTGGACTATTGCAATGCTCTCTTGGCAGGTCTTCCAGCAAGTTCTATCAAACCTTTACAATTAATCCAGAACGCGGCAGCAAGATAAATTTTTAATGAGCCAAAAAGAATGCACGTCACACCTCTGCTTATCAATTTGCACTGGCTACCAATAGCTGCTCGCATAAAATTCAAGGCATTGATGTTTGCCTACAAAACCACCACTGGCTCTGCACCCCTTTACCTAAATTCATTACTTCAGACTTATGTGCCCTCTAGAAGCTTGCGTTCTGCAAGTGAACGTCCCAAAGAAGCACAAAATCACTTTTACAGACTTTTAAATTAAATGTTCCCTCCTGGTGGAACGTCCTGGCCAACTCAGTCCGAGCAGCTGAGTCCTTAGCCATCTTCAAGAATCGGCTAAAAACACATCTCTTCCATCTTTATTTGACCCTCTAACTCTAGCACTCTCTATTCTAATTCTATTCTTTAAAAAAAAACTTGTCCCTTTTAGACTTGCACTCTATTCATTTGCTGCTTGTTTTCTTAAAAAAAAAAAAAACCAAAAAAAACAACACTAACACTTGCTTTCTAATCTTTTTGCATTCTATCGGTTTTCTTTTCATTTATTATAAAATTAACAAAAGCAAAAAATACCTCTAACACTAGCTTGCTCTATTCTATCTGTTTTCTTTTTATTTATTATATTATTTAAAAAACCCTTGCTACGTGTACTGCTTTAAGCTAAATGAGACTTGTTATAGCACTTGTATATCGTTGCTCTTTTGTTGATTTTGATTACTTCCATTGTCCTCATTTGTAAGTCGCTTTGGATAAAAGCGTCTGCTAAATGACTAAATGTAAATGTAAATGTAAATGTAACCTTAATCAAACACACCTGAACAAGCTAATCAAGGTCTTCAGGATTCAGGTAGGTATTTTTTTTTTCAGGGTTGGACCTAAACTGCAGGACAGTG